TTTCTCACCTCAACTGAACCTTAACCATCCGAAGTAAAACACGGCTTCACGTCTGATGAGTGAAGAACTTTCTGCTTCTTACCCCAAACTTACCTAAATGTGTTTTCGTCTTACCCCAAAACTCCGCTCCGGTCCGCCCCCGCCCTCCGCAGCCGCTCGCTTCCGAACTCAAATCATACTGGTACTCGCTCTACAACGGCTCCGCTCCGGTGCGGAGACCTGAGGGGGGCAAACAGGCATGCGCGGGATTTTCGAGATCTTGCGATACAGTCCGAGCAATAAACGCGGAAGTTAGATCCAAACACCCGTTGTGTGGGAGAAGCATCGGTATGAACTGTTTAATCTGCCCATCATGTGTGTTGAGAGATCAGCAGTGTTTGGACCAACAAAGGGTGACTACTTTGATAGTAGAAACTGTATTTATGGCTTACTTTTGTGCATTTAAAGTTCAGCCGCCATTGATAGTTGTTAAAAGCTGTTAAACCTGTGCATATGAAACAAAAAACGCCTTTTGTTTATCGATTTATTGTGAAAAACGGAAGTTGTGCTCGCTCCTTTTCCTGTTGGGCGGTTGTGATTTCTGTCCGTTGACTGCGGAGGTGCTCCGGCGTCCGGTGAAAACAGAATCGATCCTATTTTTGCTGGATGGCGGAACGGCGGGTGGCGCCCGGCGCCGCACGGCCGCAGTAGTGGAACAGCTCTGATTGACTACAACGGGACCGATTTTGCTGTGGAGTTCGTGCCGGAGCGGCGGTAGTGGAATGTTGGGGTTAGACCTGGCCTGTCCCACATCCAAACCCAGAGAAAACACACTGGAAGGCAGAAGAAACGTTGGCAGCTATGCTTCCCAGTGGCCTGTAGGAGGTTTGAGACCTTTAATGGAAGCAACTTCCCACATTCCTTAACTCAGAAAAACCCACACCTTCCCAACGGCCCTGAATACTTTCGTGCTAATTGCTCTTGCATTTCTCAAAGCCACCTGTATTGGTCTGAAATCTTCAAAAGGATCCCCACCCCTCTGACATTTGTGCTTGTGTACATGTTAGGTCATTGCCCTGTAAAGCAAGGGGTGTGTATCACGAGCTTCTCTTCTTTCCAGAATAAAGAAGCAAATGCACGTCTTTTTTATTTAGCACACACAGATGAGCACACATCCAAGCAGCGCCGCTAAATAGAGTCCTGGCAAACAGAAGCTGTGTTGACAGGAGAGATGAGCTGCTGGTCCTGTTGCAGCTTGCTGAAGCTCAGAGCAGGCCCCAAGTTCAAAGAGCGCCGCCACCGTGGAAGCCCCACAGTCAGCAGACTTGTTGCTACTGACACACACGCACACACACACACACACGCACGCACGCACGCACGCACACACACACACACACACACACACACACACACACACACACAGCAAATACTACTGGGAAAAGTCACGCCCATCTACTTCCGGACCATGGATCTGCAGACGAACGGTAAAATGAACGCAAGTCTACGGAACTAAAAACGTATTTTCTAATTCCGCTTGTCATGTGCCGGGGATTTCACATATGATGTCCGGTCATTTCAAATACGTATTTTGGCCAATTGAAAAAAAAACAATGCAACTATAATAGTTTAACTGAAAAATATCATTGATACGGTTATCAGTCTAACTTATGGAATGCTATCTACATTTTTATAGCTTAAGGCAGTTTATTTTATTTCCTGGTTGGCAGAAGACGTCCTAGTTCCGACCAGAGAAACGTCATTTTTCAAAAATGTCCTGGAAACGATGAAATAAAAAAATTCCATATATAAAATGACTCAAATATCGATGCTTTAATGAGAGGATCTGTTCCAAAACATAAATATCTAGAATCAGAAGTATCACAACTTTAGCATCGTTCCACACATCCCTAGCCGCTGCATCAATATCTGGACTTGAGCTGAGGAAATTCTCATGGTTGAGTGAAAGTTTTCATCAGTCAGATGACTCCTGTGTTGTTTTGTTGACCTCCATCAAAGACAACAGTGATGGATAAGCATTTGAGCCGTTTGGCCAAGGAGTTGGGGTGTTGGAGGGAAACTGACTCATGTCCACACACCGGAGTTCAATATGGAGGTTGGTTGGTGCATACTCTGCATCATTTGCATACGGAGAACTGAGAAGTTGAAATTTAGATTTCTGGGCTTCAAAGTTGGCAGATTGTCGGGTAACCTCAGCGCTGAGTGAGCGGAGGTTTTCAGTTTGTCTGGTCTGCAGGCTCTAGGCTTCCCCCTCGGGTCACGTCCTCCTCAAGAGTGGTGGCACGGACGCTAATGACTGTCAACAGGAAAGGAAAGGAAGGGGCACTTAGTAGTCTGGGTCGACATGCTAACGCAGCAAAGCACTCTGGGATTTGTAGTTTAGCAGCAGATGCCATGCTGTGCCAGTTCTAACACACCTTTGATATCTGGTCTTGCAGAACAGATTTGGCCTGAGGGCCAGAGTTTGACACCTGTGGCAGAAGCTGACCTTAAGGAAGTTGCACCGGGAGCCAAGTCAGTTATGCTAGGGTGGCATGGAGCAGTGCTGTTCTGTCTTTTCATCATTCCAACAGTTAGTAAGATGTTCCTAAAGTGTTTCAGGTGTTTGTGAGGCTTGTCCATCTCCTTGCACGAGTCTTAAGCCCAATTTATACTTCTCTGTCTGCGTTGGGACGGACACATGCAACGCCGTTATGCGTCGACGCAAGAGTCCTTGACAGCCTTGCGGAGGAAGATGGAGACATGTTCCAAATTTAACTATCTGTCGAAAGAGACAGAGACCGCAAGCTTGTGGTTGGTCAGGAAGCTGCTTCCTGTTTTCATTTGTAAACAGCAGCCTCTTCAGAAGTTGTAAATATTTAGCGGCAGACACGGAACAGACTGAAGAACGCATCGTGGAAAAATCAGAACAAGTGAACATTTCTTCACCCATGACTGGAGTAGCACAAGTGTTTTACTGATGATGGAAAAGAGGAGAAACGTGGGTTTAAAGGTGCCGATCGCATGGAGGTGGAGGGGAATGAGGGACAAACTTGTCCGTGTTTAAAAGTCTCAGATGCATTAAAACAATGTAAACACAATAGTAAACACACCGTCGAGGACCGTATACATGAGCGTAATGGTGGCAGGATACCTCAGAATAGCGCTCCGTTGTCCTGGCGGGGAATTGTTTTGCAACCATCCCCACGGAGCTGACGGAGAAGTCTAAATCAGGCTTCAAGGCCGAGCTCTAGCCCTGCAGGAACATGCTCACACCTTTAGCAAGGCAGAGTTTCAGTAGTATGATTCCTCAGGTGACCTCATCTCAAGCATGACTTTTACTTCTCCTTTTGGTGTACTTGAGTAAAAACTGTGAAGCATGTGAGACGACTCAGGAAGGTGTTGCTTACCAAAGCCTAGCAATCATTAATGAGCAAACGGAGACCTTTTTAACACACTGTGACTACAGTGCAATGGTAGAATGTGCACATCAGACCAGGCCATATGCAGAAGTTGTAACTGAAACTTGACCGGCTTCCACGGACATCCATGCAAGAACAATTTAAACCATGCGTAGTTTGTTTGTGATCCTCTATTTCCACAGCTCCACTCTCCAGTCCAGTAAGTGGCGTTTATCCACTGCCTTGTGAGAGATCTGTTCAGAATTAGAGGAGTTATGTAATCTACCTGAGTGGAAAACCAAAGTTTCATTACGTCTACGATTACAGTCCCTAGAAAACACCTGTTGTCTCTTCACGTGATTGCTGTTTTGTAGCTCCACTCATTAAAGGGGAGTTTTGTGGGCGTGTGTTTAAGACTGCGGGTCATCGGCCTCGCCAAGGATGTCTTGGTTGTAATTGGTTGACTAAACTCACGGGTCTTCTTATTGGATTCACCTGTCCGGCTGCTCATTAACACAGATTATGGCGGCAACGGTTATACTTTTTGGTAGTAATGTACCCATTAGTACAGTCTAAGAAACAATCACGATTACCAGGAATATTTTACATAAACATATAAATCACACACACACACACACACACACACACAGTACATTAATGATGAAAGGCATGATTGCCTTCTAGAAGGGGTTTGAACCCCTGAAGTATCTGTTGTTCCTGTTCAGAGATGAAGCATTCACTCTACTACTGATTTGCAACGTTGATGTTTTATAACACGAGCCTGGAGGAGCTCTGCTGTGTGGTGGAGTTGCTGATGCGATCAGTTAGCTTCTGCTAGCTGAGACGTTCTCTGCTGTTTCCTGGGCCTCATTTATCAACCGTACCTACGAACAGATCTGTGCGTAGATGGTGCGCAGGAACTAATTTAGGCATGTGAGGCGTACATTATTACCTGTGCGAGGAAATGTCCCTAAGCATCAGAAACCTCAGACCTTGTGTAGGAACAGCGTCTAGCAGCAGAACGGGGAACCGCGACACTGGAGGTCTCAGTCATCCACTAATTATGTTACCCGTTAAATAAATAAGCAGGTGGGAAGACAGCCGAGTCACGTACCTGGCGCTAAACACTCGACGGGAATCTGACTTTGTAGAGTGGATGTCGTGATTTTTTTACTCATATTTTTTCTTCCCATTTTTATATGTTATGAATCTTTTAAATCCATTAATATTGTGTTAATTTGATTATATTATATTTTGTCCTTGTGAGACGGCTCGTGGTTTAGCTGGATGGGTCAGATAAAACGTGGTTTATTATTATTCAGGACTTGTCCGAGCTGCTCTCTGGAGAAAACCTGTTTTCCTTCTCGTTTGTGTCTGTTTTATCTTGTTTTTGTTTCTGTTGCCGTTCTACGATGGTGTGTAGCACCTCAACCCTCTGAGAAGACAGTGGAAGGTGCTGTAGAAATCAAAATGATGCTTTTCGTTATGGATGAAAAGCATCATTGACCTGGTGAACTTCTGGTTCTGGCTAATGGCTCGAGGACAGCTCCACTCACACGTTCACTCTGTTCACGTATCTCTGCTCACCGACGATGCTAAGTTTGCCTTTTTCCATCTTTCCAGAGAGGGTTGGATGGTTTCTGGAAGTCTGTGGCCCACCGTGTGCCTCGGGACCCAACGGAGATGAGAATCCTCAACCCTTACTTCATCCAGGAGGCTGCATTCCATTTTATAGGCTTGCCCCTCAACAATGGCTTGATGGGCAAAGGGGTAAGACACGCGGCTGCAGTGCTTTCTTTCCAGACTATTCCACTCAGCTCAGCCTTTGTTATGAAGCCCTGCCGGGCAGAGGCGCTCCACAAGGTGCTGAACAATAATAAAGTACTGGGTTGTGCTGGCGGTTAGTCTCACCAGCCTGCAGTCTAACAGCACAGCACACACACCGCTGCCGCTCCTACACTAGAGGTGTGAGTCTTCACTTGCATCCGGATTCGATTACGGTAAACAATTCAATTTGATTTGTTCTCACGATTACTTCACATGGATTTGTTTTCATCGATAAGTAGAAGATGTGTGATAATTGCTTTTTTAAATCAGAAACGTGTCTGACACAACCTGCCACCCCCACAAGCTCTCCATTCACAGCAGTCCTCAGGACTAAACATTTAAACATTTACGAAGATCTAAGTAAAAGTCTGTTTCCTCGTTCAACACCACACCTCAGGCTGAGAAACGTCGCTGACTTTTATTAATACATCTTTAAAATCATCAGATTTTCTTTCATGTTCTTTCAAACAGCAACAAAGCACAGTCTAATGTAAACAGGCTACTTTGGTTATACTCCCAGGTCTCCATACAACTAGCAGGTGTTTAATAATACTAAAGGGATGAGAGCATGCGCTCCCAAACACCCAGAGGTAAACGAGAGAACGACAAATGAACGTTCCACCTGAGATTAAAGCCAAACTTGTCTTTTTATTCTCGTCACATACCAGGGTCTGGACCTGTTGGGCTTTCTGAGTATCGGTTTCAGGAGCAAGCAGGGGGATTCATGTTGTTCACAAACATTTTTGCTGTAGTGTGTCACACATTTTTCACTTGACCAATCAACAATCACAGCATGCCAAAAACCGATCACACGCAGCGGTGCTGTCCTAGAGTCAGGTCGACGTTGACCTCTGGCCCCCGGGTCTGCAGCTGGGTGGAATTCCTTCACATGGAGGAGGCGGGGTTTGAATTTCTGGGTTGAAGTGATGGCTCACGAAAATAACTTCTAGTTCCTTAAAAGCACATCTCAAAAGTGCCAGCGGTAGTAATTGATCCCATGTTGTGCTTACAGTTGCTCTGGACAGGTGTAAAATAGCATGATACAGGTCCTTTATATTCACCATGTCACCATCTCCACGGCTGGCTTTCCCATGTCCAAAAGGTTTGCATGGAAAATGAGTTGCACAGTTTCAGACCCTGTTTCAGGACGCCGTAGGATTCCCTTGGAAGAGCTGGGCCAAGTTAGTGGTGAAACCTGGACAGACACAATTATTTTGCTCTGCATGTTGGTCTAGCCACACTCCATTTGAGCCTCAGCGGGCCCAACAAGTCTTGTCTTGTCCATGACAATGCTCTGTCTGTTTGGTTGGCCAATCGCATCAACCCTATTGGTTGGTTGGTTGGAAAGAAAACCACAGATGTCACCTTGCAACTGAGCTCTGTCCATGGGCCATGGTCATACACAGGGTGGGCCATTTCTATGGGTACACCTTAATAAAATGGAGTGGTTGGAGGCATTAACGTCCCGTTTGTGGCACATTAGTTTATGTGAGCGGGGAAACTTTTCAAGATGGGTGGTGACCATGATGGCCCATTTGAAGTCGGCCATCTTGGATCCAACTTTTGTTTTTTCAACAGGAAGAGGGTCATGTGACACATCAAACTTATTGGGAATTTCACAGGAAAAGCAATGGTGTGCTTGGTTTGAACGTGACTTGCCAAGCTAGGCCCAAGTGAGAAGAACAAAGCTTAGGCTGCTGCCCCACGACCCAACCCCGGATAAGCAGAGGAAGATGGGTTGAGCCCCTGGTAGAGTTGAGCATTGAACATCGACTGGAACTGGTGCTGTCAGTTTTTCCCAGAATTGTTCAAATTTTGTCATTCCGATTCCTAGTTTCCATTCCCAGTCTGCCATCGGAAGTAGAATCTGCAGCCAATCTCTGTAAAAAAACATGATGTGCTAACTCTGATCAATGCCTTTCAGAGCCTATCACACCATGTGTCTGTCACTCCTACTTTACAGCCTGTGGAGACCCTGAGTGTGCAGTAGGGGTGGGAATTGATGAGTGTTTATCAGTATCAATGGCATTGTCGGTTCAGTCTATTGATCCAGTTCCTTATCATTTCCTTTTTTAATTCCAGACTAGTTCAGTAGGTGGCAAAAGCTGATTAGTTACCTGCAGTGCTAACCGGAGAGGTCATGCGAACGTGACCGCTGCTGCTGGTCCGTCAGACAGACTTGAACTGTGGCATAAATATTCGACTCGTAAGGAGCTCGACACACGGGAGGCGACAAACGACCGCGATCAGCGAAAATTGTCGCTGTTGCTTTTATTACCTGACACACGGGAGGCGATCCGCGCCAGCGACAAAGCCGTCTACGCGTTCTGTTCCACGGCGAAATCTAAACTTCCCTTGTTTTGCTTGGCTGTGTCAGGTTGGAGGGAATTAAGGTTATTTAAGCGGTTCAGAGTTAATAAAGCGGTAGATATGATGTTTCACAAGGTGCTGCTAGAGTTATGTGAAATCTTACTTCTGATTTTACTATAAAACATAATAATAATCAACTTCTCCTCCATGTTTGCTCGGAGGTGTACGGAGCATCCTGTCCGCTCATTGGTCAGTGAATGAAACCTCCGTTGATTGGTCCTCGTCCGAGCGACAGCGATGAAAAGTTGAAAATGTTTCAACTTTCTGGGATCGCGTCGCCGGGTCGCCTGTGCACGACACGTGCACGAGTGCAAACTTTCACACGCACGTTTTTCGCGTTTCGCTTGGTAGGAGGGAGACCCGCGATAATCGCTTTGTCACACACGTCTCATTGAACATGAATGGAGGAGAGGCGATGTTGCCTCCCGTGTGTCGAGCCCATAAAGCTGCTCAGAGACATGAAACACTCGTATATGAACCCAGTATGTATTTTATTATTACATTATAGGGTTTCAGTACTTTTTAGATGTTGTGAGTTTTTGAAAGCGTGTTTTCTCAGCCTGAGGCGTGGTGCTGAACCAGGAAACAGATGTTTTACTTTGTTAAATCTTCTTAAATGTTTACATGTTTTGTCCTGACCTGTTGTGGATGGAGAGCTTTTCAGGGATGGCAGCTTGTGTCAGTTACGTTTTAGATAAAAAATTAAAAAAGAAATTATCTGACATCTTCTTTTTATCGATGAAAACAAATCAATATGAAATAATCGTGATGCATCAGGATATCGAATCGAATTGAATCGTTGACCCAATAATCGTAATCGAATCAAATCGGGAGACAAGTGAAGATTCACCTCTAAAGCCCTTTTCAGACAGACATTCTGGAACATTTGCGGACAATTCAATCCGGTTTTTAACCGGAACTGTGTTTTCAGACACACCACTTTTGTACCGGAACTTGTCCTTTCGGCTGCGTTCACACAGCAGGGAAAAGTTCCAGAAGTCTGACGGCGGCGGGGGGGGTGGGGAATCGGACTTATGTTAAGAAGAAGAAGAAGAAGAAGAAAATATCATTTCTATAGCGCCTCTCAAGATAAAAAATCACGAGGCGCTTAAGCATAATTCTGCGCACACGAAGATGCATAGGAGACCTGGATGATGAAGCTCAATGGCTAAAGGAATCACTGAAGCGGTTTGAAACGCTCTGTTGCGCGTCTAGACGGTACCGTAGGAGGCGAGCTGCCGTGGTTCGCCGCATGCTACAGCAGCGGGCTATCTAGGTGCGCACAGCGTCCCCCGGTCCCCTCCTCCTCCCCCTCCCTCTTGTCCGGAACTTTACCTCACCAGTCTGAAGCAGCCACCCTGTCCGTAACAAGTCCGGACCTGTTACTAGGGGCTTTGTCCGGATAAATTCCGGAGCACGTTATCCGGATGTTTGTATTCAGACAGAAAGGTCTTACGGACAGATTCCGGAACATTTCCGTTTTTCATGGCCTGTCTGAAGGGGGCTTAAGTGTCATGGTGATGACGATGGTCGTGATGATGATGATGGTCGTGATGATGGTGATAGTAATGAAGATCACATGGTGATGGCGATGGTCGTGATGATGACGATGGTCGTGATGATGACGATGGTCGTGATGATGGTGATAGTAATGAAGATCACATGGTGATGGCGATGGTGGTGATGACGATGGTCGTGATGATGATGATGGTCGTGATGATGGTGATAGTAATGAAGATCACATGGTGATGACGATGGTCGTGATGATGATGATGGTCATGATGATGGTGATAGTAATGAAGATCACATGGTGATGACGATGGTCGTGATGATGATGATGGTAATGAAGATCACATGGTGATGGCGATGGTGGTGGTGGTGATAAGCCTGACGTTTGTAAAGAAGAAGGTATGAGCTGAATACGTTTGGTCCTGTTCTGCACAGGTGTTAGCGCCTGCCTATCTGCTGCAGTGTAAATGCTGATAACTCACCACCGACCCACCTAAATGACACAACAGTTTCTTTAAATCCTGTGAGCTGCTGGAGGGACATCAGAGGACCGACAGAGCTTGTTTAACAGGTCTCACTGCAGCTTCATTCTCCACAAACTGTGAGAACTGTTTCTGCGGTGAGCTACAGGAGCTGCTTTGTTAGCTCAAACAACACGAGGATGATGGAGCTGAGGCCACAACATGACGCTCCACCAGCTGTCCGTAGAATTCTTTTGGGAAGTCCAATTCCAGACACCACAGACCCCAAAGTCCTTCCTGTTGGGCTCCTGCAGTCCAACAGTCCTTTATTCTGAGGTTTTTAACACACACAGCACCACTTGTGTGTGTGTGTGTGTGTGTGTGTGTGCATTTGAACACGCAGTAGGAGGTTGCTGGTTCAGCCCCATCTTCCCTGAGGGCTTCATATCAAGGTAATGATTTAAATAGTGCCTCCCTCAACATTCTCCTCTCCACCTGAGGGGTTTCCCCAACATCACTACTTTTTCTCCTTTTTTCTGCAACATCCTCACATGCAAGCACACACACACACACACCAGCTTAGGGCATTCAGGAAGTCCGACTCGACCCCGTAGATGACTGCAGGGTCTGTGTCTTGTAGGCTGATCACCATGAGCAGCAGTGAAGTCGGACAAAGACAGGAGGACGCATGTTTAGCTGCATGCTTGCACCTTATCAAATCAACAACAATAGAAAACATGACTGTTTTCTGTATCTAATCTAAGAGGGGACTTGAGTTTTAGTGAGTACTGAAGACACACCAGACGTGATGTTCTAGGCCTCAAAGCTGACGTGATTTGTCTGCATGTTCCCAAGAGTCATGATGGATTTACAGGAAAAGTATTCATCTTCCTGTTATTACTATAATGTGTGTGTGTGTGTGTGTGTGTGTGTGTGTGTGTGTGTGTGTGTGTGTGTGTGTGTGTGTGTGTGTGTGTGTGTGTGTGTGTGTGTGTGTGCTTCCATAGAACATTCCGACTCTGGGAACAGTGGCGATAACAATGGCGCTACATAACTGTGACGAGGTGGCGGTGGCGGGCTTTGGTTATGATATGTCTTCACCTCATGCACCTCTTCACTACTACGAGAAAGTCAAGATGGCGGCCATCAAAGAGGTGAGCGTTTCAACAGCGGTGCGTTTTGGTTGTTGCTAACTTTAGGATTTTGAACACTTCTTTTTCGTGTTTCTGCTGACTTTGGCCTTGGAGAAATGAACGGGGATGAAAGAGGATGCTGGCCTGAAACAAACGTTACTGCAGAGCTCTGACCATTGGAGCCGACAGAAGGATTCTCTGAGGTTGTCACTGAAATAGCTGAACGTTTGTTTTGGTTCGGATGGTGGTGGTTGTTAGTCAATCTCAGAGTCACTCTCTAGTAGGTGGATTGTTGCTCCTTGTTCCACTGAGTTAGTAAGTAAGTATTTCAAAGTAAAACGTAAGTGGAAGTGGACGTTTGGACCAAACTGGGTTGTAAAACAGAAACATGAACCCAAACACTGCAGCAGGTCGGTACCAGCTGGCCAAACAGAATGCAGCCCGGATGGTAACAGAGGCAGAAACCCGGGCATGGGAGGAGTTCAGTGAGACCATGGAGCAAGACTTCCGAACGGCTTTGAGGAGATTCTGGTCCACACCCGGTGCCTCAGGAGGGTAAAGCAGTGTGCTGCTAACACTGTTTATAGTGGGGACAGTGTGCTACTGACCTGGGACGTTGTGGATTGGTGGGCTGAGCACTCCTCAGTCCCACCGGTACATCTTCCAGTGAGGTAGCAGACTTTGAGGACTCTGGGTTGGGTTCTCCAGTCTGTGGTACTGGAGTCACTGAGGTGGTCAAAAAGCTTCGCAGTGGCAAGGCTCCGGGGGCAGTTCCACCAGTATGGGATTCCAGAGTGGTGGCCCTCCTATTTAAAAAGGGACCGCAGGGTGTGTTCCAACCACAAGATCATACTCCTGAGCCTTCCTGGTTAGGTCTATTCGGGGGTTCTGGAGAGGAGGGTCCATCGGATATTTGAACCTCAGATTCAGGAGGAGCAATGTGGTTCTTGTCCTGGCCGTCAAACACTGGACCAGCTCTATACCCTTAGGGGGATCCTGGAGGGGGCGTGGGAGTTTCCCCAACCAGTCTACATGTGTTTTGTGGAACTGGAGAAGGCGTTCAACTGTGTCCCTCGGGGTGCCCTGAGTATGGGGTACCAGGCCCCCTGATACAGGCTGTTAGGTCCCTGTATGACCGGTGTCAGAGCTTGGACTCCGCCAAGGCTGCCCTTTGTCACCGATTCTGTTCATAACCTTTCTGGAGCAGATTTCTAGGTGCCGCCAAGGTGTTGAGGGGATCTGTTCTGGTGGCCTGAGGATCAGGTCTCTGCTTTTTGCAGATGATGTGGTCATGTTGGCTTCATCAGAACGTGATCTTCAGCTTTCACTGGAGCGGTTTGCAGCCGAGTGTGAAGCAGCTGGGATGAGAATCAGCTCCTCTAAATCTGAGACCATGGTCTTGATTCAGAAAAGGGTAGAATGCCTTCTCCGGGTCAGGGATGAGGTCCTGCCCCAAGTGGAGGAGTCTAAGTATCTCGGGGTCTTGTTCACGAGTGAGGGAAAACTGGAGCGTGAGATCGATAGGTGGATTGTTGCTGCATCTGCAGTGATGCGGGCGTTGTACCGGTCTGTCGTGGTGAAGAGAGAGCTGAGTCAGAAGGTGAAGCTCTCGATTTACCGGTGGATCTTCGTTCCTACCCTCACCTATGGTCATGAGCTTTGGGCAGTGACCGAAAGAACGAGATCACGGATACAAGCGGCCGAAATGAGTTTCCTCCACAGGCTGGCTGGGCTCTCCCTTAGAGATAGGGTGAGAAGCTCGGTCATCCGGGAGGGGCTTGGAGTAGATCCGCTGCTCCTCCACATGGAGAGGAGCCAGTCGAGGTGGCTCGGGCATCTGGTCAGGATGCCTCCTGGACGCCTCCCTGGTGAGGTTTTCCGGGCACGTCCAACCGGGAAGAGACCTAAAGGTAGACCCAGGACACGGTGGAGGGACTATGTCTCTCACCTGGCCAGGGAACACCTTGGGATTCCCCCGGAGGAGCTGGCCCAAGTGGCTGGGGAGAGGGAAGTCTGGGCCTCTCTGACAAGGCTACTGCTCCTGCAACCTGACCCTGGATGACCAGCTGGAAGTGGATAGGTCGATGAATGGAAGAATAAGTCCTTCAGCCAGCAAATAGCAAAAGGCGATAATTTGCAGATGGCAAGTGTTCAAAGCAGCGCCCACAGTGATTCCTCTAAATAAAGTGGACAGAGGGTCAGGACGCACCGTGGCCTCACAGATCTTGGAGAGGGCGTCAAAAATAAGCTCCCAATATCCTGCAGTTTTGGACACGTCCAGAACATGTAGAAGCGTAATGTATGATTGTCTGCAGCGTTCTCAGCTCCAAGTTGGGCTTGATTTATGGGAGTTTATCTCTGGACCTATGTAAAATGCTGTGCTCATTTCTCAGTATAAATGTGTTACACAAGGAGAAAATCCCAGCTTCTAAAGAGATTCTGGACCCATTCCCTGCTTTGGGCGGGTGGTGGTGGGAAATGTGTCACACTGGTGGGTTAAACTGTCATCCTCGAGTAAGGCCAGCAAACGAGGTGGAAATCGTAAAATGAGTAATGGAGAGACACCTTTAGAAAAATCAGAGGGCCATGTTTAAAAATCAGTTTCAATCCCTTTGAGATGTTTATAGGTTTACAAAAATCATTTAGGTGAAGTTAGGTTCACATCACATTCTGTAAATGTCACAGGGATCAAACTGAGTCTCAGGAGGTGGCGCTGTAGTGATTTAAATGAAACATATTTACGTGTGTGTGATAAAACTCAACGTCTGGCTTGTTTGTGACTTTCTCTGTTAAAGTTATTCAAGTGTCCATCTATCTAAGTGGTGCTGTTCTCCAGAGAACCAATCGTCTTGGTGTGGTTCAGTATAACTCACACTAAGCATGTTTTATTTATAGTCAGTTGTCTGTGAGTGGGCGGAGCTAAAATAATTTGAACTAATCACCACAATAATGTGGTTGTTGCAGTTGTGTGATGAAGCCCAGCAAGTTTGGCACCGTTCTGACCTTGTAGAAGCTATGAAACTTTAACTTGCATGTAGGTGGCGCTGTGGAGATCACCTGCACCAACAGTTTGCATTCATCTCATTTAGGGGCTGCATTAACATCCATTTCTCTAGAGTAAGGTTGTCACGGTAACCGGTGTAGCGGTAAACCCCGGTATAAAAGTTGACAATAATAATAACCGTCTTGTTTTAAAAAAAACTATATTATCTCGGTGGTTTACCGTGGCTGCGGTGTAGGCGCGGTGACCCTTACCAGCCACCGTATCATCTGCTGAAGTTGCCGGCGGCACATGCGCACTTTGTTGTTTACAACCAAAACTTTCATGAAGCTAAAGCTGAAATAATGGCCAAAGGAGGAGACGGCAGCGCTCAGGACATTTATTATCCATCAAAGAAGACAAAGTGGGAAGTACGGGCATCTTTTGGATATCTGAAGAATGCCGAGGGACAGCTGATAGAAGACGCTATCCTGTTTGCAGCACGAGCAGAAAAAGTGTCTGTGAAAGGCAGCAACGCTTCAAATCTCATGACACATCTGCGTGACCATCACCCACAACTCTACAGTCAACGCAAGGCAAGCTAACGTTAGCGTTTTAGCTAAAATGCGTGATCCGAGGATTTGGGTTGAGGGAGAACGCAACGAGTCGCTATATAAAGCAGCCGCAGCGCCGCTACCTGCATATAAACCGTGTCGCGGACACCGCCATGTTGAAATGACGCTATGCATTACGGGGCTCCCAGGGGCAGATAAGAGTTGGTCTCTCTCCGAGAATAATTATGAATTTAACAACGATTACTGCCTGATGACATTTTCCCACATCTGCAAAGCTCACTGGAAGGACACAAACCGAGGACAGTATTTTCCTGATATAGGGTTTATTACTCAAGTAAGGGTAAAAAAGTATCTGATTAGAAGGCTACTTGAGTACTGAGTATCATCTGAACTAATATTTTTAAAATGATGACATCAAACAGACATAAAATAAGAAGTTATGGGCAAATATTGGTATTTTAAAGACTAAAGGGGAAAAATGTAAACAAATAAACAACATAATTACAAAATAACACATTTTAGGCTAAATTTAGACACAAACCTAGGACAATATTTTCCTGACATACAGGGTTTATTTAATTGTCTGAAAATGTAGCACGTTTAAAAAATACCGCGATAATACCGAAAACCGTGGTAATTTTGGTCACAATAACCGTGAGGTTAAATGTTCACACCGTGACAACCCTACTCTAAATGTGGTGCAGATCAGAAGATGTATGTGGAAATAGCCAAACGGAGCTCCATTCAGACACCGTCAGGCCATCACAGCTCCACACTTCCATCACCACACTGCAGCTGTGCACCTGCATGTGTTCTGGAACTGGGCACAGTCTCATCTTGATTAGATGAAAGGTCAAATCTTGACCTTTTAAATGCAAGCAATAGATTTAAGGTGGTGTGGTCTTGGTGAAGTCAGCAAATGAATGTGCAAATAGCCTCATGTCTTCATGTAATCGCCGCCTTGACAGTCCGCATGCACAGTGGTGTTCCAAATACAGTTGTTGTTACACATCTGGTGAAAAGCCGGGGTCAAATGGCCTGCATCTGATACAGCGCCCTCTAGAGTCCCGGGACCCAAGGTGCTTTACAGCACAATCAGTCATTCACACCCTGGAGATGATGAGCTACACTGTAGCCACAGCTGCCCTGGCACACTGACAGAGGCGAGGCTGCCGTACACAGGCACCACCAGTCCCTCCGACCACCACCAGCATCAAGGAGGGTTAAGTGTCTTGCCCAAGAACACAACGACAGCGACAGACTGAGCGGGGTTTGAACCTGCAACCTTCCAATTACGGGGCGAGCACTTAACTCCTGTGCCACCTGGGTCAATGAAAGTAGCTGAAAAATCCTCCCACCCACCTGTTGACACTGGAGGAACAGTGGCTCAACTCCTTCTCCTCATCAGCCAATCAGAGGATGGGTGGGCATGGCCAGCCCCAGCTTGTTCCTTAAAGTGACGGAGC